TAACGGAGCGAGGTGCTTTATTGATGCACGCTGCCACTCGTGTAAAAAGTTATTAACACATTTCCCACAAGAATTGCTCACATAAATTTCTTATGTAACATGGGCTTCTATTTGAATCCAAATATGGTCACAGCTGATTGTGTTCAGGATTAAACTAAATAAAAGAAAAATGTGCTAAAAGTGTTTTGTTGATGTTGTCGGGTTTTAAACTTCAGAAACTTCTCTGGTCACAGCTTCTTGGACCGATCCAGGATGTCACTTTTCAATCACACAGAAGCGCCGGAACACACGGTCAAACATGCAATTTCATGTCCAAGGGATGTCAGGCTTTTAAAGGAATTGCTTCGGCCATTTTTCCTGCCAAAACAACAACCTTTCAAAGAAATATCACAAAGTGAGTGACAGTGGCACTGATTGCACCAGGGAAGCAGCACAGCATCCACTCTGCGTCTCAGCATGCCAGACGGTTTTTCATTAAAATCCAACCCTTCCAATAATTTCCACCCATCCCTGTATTTGCATTCCTGCCTCAGTCTAAAAACTCACAGAATCGTCGTCTGGAGCGACTTGATACCCGTGCCTCAGCTTTGAGCTATAACACCCACGGAGCTGTTGCTGTTGGTGGCAAATCATTTCGCTGCTCTGCCTCTCAGACAGACGGCTATTACTGTTCTCTCCAACAGCCTCCACTTAAAACAGGAGTGTGTGGGGACAGTGTGAAGAAGCAGTTAACAATCTGTCGCACATGGAGAGGAGGTGCAAGAAATGTCTTTAAAATAGTCCAAGGTGTTAGCAGCAGAGGGATGTGAGCGAGTCCTATAGGGTGCAGATATTTCATTTGATCTTTATGAGAAAATAACGGTAAAGAAGCCCAATAAGAAAGCAGACAACAGTCCATGTAAATTATTAGTGGTATTGCCTCAAGTGAAGCATCTTAGATGCAGTCTTAAGACAATAATCTTTACAAATATTACAATGTAGTGGAAGCCGAAACAAATGGGGGGGGAATCATATTATGCTAGCTTTAGAAACAAGTAAATCCCTTAGTGTTTCAGAAGAAAAATGATTATTTTTAAATTCATGGCTACTCATTAGCTAATACTACAATACATTACATTTAAACTTCTGCTGGATGTTTAAGTCTGTGGTGCTTTATCTACCTCAACCTGAACTGCAAAGGAATTTTGTTTTTTAAAGCCACACTATCATTACATGAACTTCGTTGCCAAGAAATGAAAAACAAACAGTGATCTTGGTTCCAAAAGCGTACTTTTCCCTCATTCAAAACCCAAGCGTTTCACCAGCGACTTCTTAGGAGGATCTCAATAAAATCTACTGACAAAAGATGGAAAAGGTTAAGAGCTTCATTTTAAGCATCTGTATTCAAATATGTTTCTAGTTGTTATAGGATGGAGGAAGAGCTGTTATGGTTTTGGTTCTGTTTAAGTTTTCTCTTTGAGTTTTCATCGGTTTTATTTCTATGTTGTGTTATTCTAGTTGTTTTTAAATTCTTATGTATTTCTTGAGTTTCACTGTGTTGCCCCCTTTTGCCTGTCTCCTTTCCCCTAACTCCCTTCTAGTCACTTCTATCCACACCTGCTCCATATTAGCTGATTATCCCAGTCTTTGTTCTCTCTCCCATATATACTCTCCCTGTAAAGTTCTCAGTGCTGGTTTCTCATCATTACTTATCTCCTCTTGTGTGTTTTCCCAAGCAGCATCTCTTGGTTTGTTGGTTTTCTGTATTTTTTGTTCTGGAATTTTGCCTCCGTTGCCTTTTGGAACCCTCATTAACTCAGCAAATCTCATCTCTACCTTCTCATATCTGCATTTGGGTCCTCAACTAATTTCCACCAAACCTGACAAGAGCCAATGCCGCATTGTTCTGAACATCACATCTTCTTAATCTGGGGCATTGCTGTTGTGTGTTTAACTTTCAGGTAAACATATACGACATAAGACACAGAGAAAAGAAGTAACTATATAAAGCCTAATGCTTAAAATGATTCAGCTTGTTGTTTGTGATCAATCACAAGAGTATTTGAAAAATGCTGATTAAAAACATTCAATTATAATTCCACTGCATTTGCAGTTTGAGTAACATTTATTATTAAAACGCCATTCCTTGTGGACATAAATCACTATTTACACCGAGCTCAACAAGCAGCCGCTGCTTTCTTCATCAAACATAGACTGCATAGACTGGTTTTTAGATAGACTGAATTATAGATTCAGTTGTACGTCAAAAATCGCTATAAAGTTAAAAATACATCGTTTGACAATAGTTATTGGGCTGACAATGGGTCATTCAAGCTTTTCTTAGACTTTGCCATTTTGTATACACAGAGTGTATACAAAACAAAATTTCGTTTTATTACAGTTTTCAGACAGTAAATGAACATTTCCATTCCATAAAGTGTAGCAGTGATCAAATATAAACAGTGTGGGAGACAAAAAATAGTGCAAAAAATGCATATATATGGAAGATCAGGGCATTAATATATATGGTGCAAATATGGAGTATTTTTGGCTTGGTGTTATCAGTGTGATGCAGAGTCTGTGACATAATTTAAGGTTGTGGTTGTTTTTTTCAACAGTTCAGCAGTTCTCTCATGCCACCTGCAAAATCCTCATATAAATAGAGGGATTGAACATCTAGGTCTTAGCTGTGCGATCTCAGTCAGTAACTACTACCCTCATGTGATATAAAGTTAGCAGTCCATTGATCAGGGCCAACCCAAACCACAACGGGGGCCCTAAGCAACATTTGATTTTGTGGCCCTTAATTTCTGCCAATTATATGGATTGCTGCAATCAGCAGTCAGATTATCAGAACACTCACACACCCCAAAAAGTCTGCAGCTCTGAAAGGGCTGTTTGCATTAATACAGATAATCAAGTGGAATATTCAAAATTTTTTATTTATTTTGTGGGTAATTATAAACATCAATATACTAACATCAAAGATGATAAGTACAGAATTCATGCTCTTTTCAGAGCTAGATTTTGTGTTACATGGGGTAAAGAGAAAATTATGGGTCTGTCACGTTTTGGTTGTGGTTTTGAGGACCCAAATGCAGAGGCAGAGAGGCTGAGGCGAATTCTTGTAGTTTTTAATGATGAAAATGGTTAACAAAGCAGGAATCCAAAAATCCAACAAAAAATGTAACAGACCAGAACCATGGAGACATCAAGGGAAAACACGCACAAGGAGCCAGGGAGAGACGAGGTGAGAGGACAACGGCGATGACAAGACCAGCAACAAGGAACCAACAAGGAGTGAGAGCAGAGGGAGAGTATATGTAGCTGACTGAGACAATGGCAGGGCTAACGAGCTGACAAGGAGCAGGTGTGAGAGGAGACAACGAGGGGTTACTTTATAGAATTCAGACCATGGGATTAATTGTCATTTTTACATGGGTTCCATAGGTAATGAATTGGCAGACAGATATGCAAAACACGCTTCAAAAAACAGTTGCATTGAGATACTGATTCCGTTTAGTAAAGAGGAGATAAAATCTATTATAAAACAAAAGGTTAAGGAAAGATGGCAGAAGCAGTGGGAGGAGGAAAGAACTGGTAGATGGCTTTATAGCATTCAAAGGAAAGTTGGGGTAATGAGGGGAACAGGAAGAAGTAGAAAAGAAGATAATATCATATCCAGGTTACGTTTTGGTCATACAGGCTTAAACAGTACATTATTTATAATGGGAAGACATCCATCAGGAAATTGTGAATTTTGTTTTCAAGAAGAGACAGTAGAACATGTTTTGTTGTTTTGTCCAAAGTACTCTGAGGAGAGAAGGAAATTAGAATATTGATTTCTAAAGAATAAGTTACAATTAAAAATATCAGATATGTTGGGATATTGGTCCTCCTCTGAATATTTACGTCATTTATTAAGATTTCTTAAGAAAACTAAACTGATAGAAAGGATTTAGTTTTTTTTTTTTTTTTTTTTTTTTTTAAGTTGCGTCCTGATCCACACTCCTTACCAGTAGGTGGCGGTAATGCACACCAATAAGTTGCTTGTCAACCGCCATTAAACAAGAAGAAAGAAAGAAAGAAAGAAAGAAAGAAAGAAAGAAAGAAAGAAAGAAAGAAAGACAATGAGGGAGCCAAGTGGGAAGGGAACACACACAAGTGGGCAACAGAGGAAAACAGAAAAACCAGAGAATTAACATAAATCAAGAAACTACAATAAAATAGGAATTAAAGCAATAAAACTAGAAAACAAGGAGCAAAGTAAAGCACAACATAACCAAAACCATGACAGGGTCTCTGCAAGTCATCTAGGAGTCTTCAGTGAAATCAAACATCAATAACAATTTTCATAAAAACTTATCAAATAATCAATTTATGTAGATATTAGTTCTTGTAAATATCTTTTTTAAATTGTATGCAGAAAGTTTATTTATACAAGTAGGTAAGTAACGACAATGGAAAAGATTTACGCCCCAGAACTCAAAACTGAAATAATTTTATTCACTATATCTTTAATTTAGAAATTACGGATGTTTAAATATATGCGTCTATTTGTTAGCAAAGGCTGTATGAAAGTATAGTTTGCCTTTATTTAGAAAATATGGATGTTTTGCTCGTTAATTTCCTGTTGGAACAGTGTAGGTTGACCTTTCTGGTGCCTATCCGCTTTCATCCACCCCTCAGTGTACATTGGTTATTTCCTGGCCACCCTTTTTCTGGCTACGCCTCTGTTGAAGGGGTATATTTAAAATATTTATAACCTATAACAGACTAAATAAGATTTTATTCAGTGTTTATGTTTATATAAATATTAGATGATGGAGTGAAGTCTCAGACTGTCCCTTCTCTCCTTTAATGAGCTTCAGGTGGGTGCACCGCACAGCTCAGACGTCTCAATTTCCTTATTGGCCCCGTGTTGTGGCGCACGCGCAAGGGGCGACAGCGCCCCGCGTGTTCACGCGTTGGCGCGCGCGTGTGTGCCTTGCAGAAGTTATTATGTAAGATGTTCCCCGTCGGTAGTCTCATCCCCGCCAGAGAGAGAGGCATGATGAAGGCGCTTTAAGAGAAAGCCCAGCTCCTGTCCGGGATCCTGGCAGGACACAGACCCTCAGCTCACCTGATGCGCAACAGTCGCAGAAGAACAGGTTTCTGCGGTAAGAAAAGACAGCTAATTATATTAATTATATTATAATTAGGGATTTTACTATTTGTCAAACTGGGATTTTTATTTTTTTTAAACCAAAAAACCTCCAGGACTCACTTTTTCTGCTGTATATAGAGATTTACCTTAATGACCTGCAATTATTGGACTTATTCTTTTCTCTGATTTACCTGTGATTCTCCACCCAGCTCCATAACAGTGCATGTGGCTCCTGTTCAGTTACCTGCTATCGGGTCCCTAAAGGGGAACAGACTTGCATCTCTCCTTACAGCAGCGTCCCTTACCTGCAGCTGGGCTGCGGGCAGAGACACAGCTGCAGCCGGTGTGTGGATCCAGGGAGGCGGGTAGGTCACACCTTCAGCCCCTGACAATCTATCTGTCCTTATGTGTTTCATTCTTTAAAATTTCCCCTTTATGTATTTAAATGAAAATTGATAAAAACAAATTCAACTCCATTGAGTTTCCCTTTATATTAATATTTTTCTGCAGCTTTTATTCCTTGTAACAATCACTTGTGTGATTAAGGGTGAAAGCTTGTAAGCTTCAAGTGATTGCTTTTGTACATTTCCTTGCATAAACTGCCTTCTCTGCCAGCAGACAAAACGCACAAAACTGCATCTCTTTAAACGTCCAAATTCTGCCATAAATAATCAGCATCAAGGCTGCAGTATGTAAGGAAGCAAAAAGGTTTGACCAGGTTAAGCTGCAGGGTTGCTTTCTCTGTGTGCTTGTCATAGGAATCATTTTCTACGATATGTAAACTAGTTTTGTGCGTGTGCTTCTTTGATGAGGAACACTCAGGCTAATCACCGCAAATGAAACAGCACATCCTAATAGGTCATTACAGCTCATAACAGAGACGGCCACAAGCCATTAATGTCCCACCTGTCAACATTTATCATTGTTAAGGAGTCGTCTGTAAAGTTAAATATGATATATCCTGCAGATATAATTCTGTTTGGATAGCCGTGTTGCAAAACTAGTATTCCGGTTGAATGGAGCCATCGGCATATCATACCAGCTTATCAGTAATGATTTTATTGCTGTGTATGTACTCTAAGAAATATGCATGTAAATAAGGATATCCATGCAAAATATACAGATATTCTTCATCTTGGTTTAATGGAACCTCATTTCTGTGATATTTTCCAGTACATTAATTTATACTGTGGGTGCCTGTAAAGACTGCATGTGCTGTCATACACGGATGGTGGCTGTTGTGACTGGGGACTCTGTTCTTTATGGAGAGAAACAAAATAGATTCTCACCATCAAAAGGAACGAATACAGCGATGGGAAACGATTGCCAATGAAAGTGCAGTGATTATCCTTGTTATTGTAATGGAAATTTAAATCAGCGGGCTATTAAAGCAATGCTGCAAAACTCAGGATCTTTTTTTGTTTTTTGTTTTGTTTTCTTGATGATCTCCCATGAGTGCATCAGTTATTTTCATAGACTGCACTCAAGGAGAGAGAAAAATCTGTGTTCCTCCTCACAGCCTCATATTTGCATATAAACATTGTTCATTTCCATCATGAATTTCCCATTATTCTAATAGCAAATCCATTGCCTGTATGCATAAAGTGGAATTTGTCTCTAATATGCATAGAGGCAATGAGGCATTCTGCATGAGATCTTCACAGTATGATAATCTAAGGTGCATGCCAGTTTCATGGTGTTTAGACAAAATGTATCACAGGAGCCCAATGCTTTGATTTAAAACCAATTCTGTTGACAATTCAAATCAATTCAATTCAGTTTATTTATATAGCGCCAATTCACAACACGTCATCTCAAGGCACTTTACAGTTCACCAGATCATCCAGTCAGATTGATTCAGTTTTCTATCTAAGGAAAACCAGTTAATTGCATCAACTCATTGATTTGAATGCAATCCCTCACACTAAGCATGCTTGTAGTGACAGTGGAGAGGAAAAACTACCTTTTAACAGGAGGAAATATTCAGCAGAACCAGGCTCAGTGTGAGCGGCCATCTGCTGAGGCAAACTGGGGTGCAAGGAGAAAGAAGAATAGAAACAAAAAGCAACCGTAAAAGACGGCCCCATCCAGGAAACACACAGCCAGGCAGAAGAGCTCTGAGCCAGCTCCCATGTTAGAGGATGAAGAGAGCACATCCAGCCAGTCACAGCCAGAGAAACAGGACTACACCGGAAAAACAGGCCGATCTCCAACATCCATAAACAAGGTGTTGATGGCAGCAGCACAGCTGATATTTCTCTCCAGGATGGTGTCAAAGGAACAGATGAGGTGAAGCTTCTATGACAAAAAGCACAGAGAGCATAACATTAGAGATTGAATTAACAGATTCTGCAGAGTGGGATAATAGAGAAAGAATGAAACAGAATGATGAAAAAGGGGTCAGTTTCAAGGTATTGGGGGAACCAAAAAATGTAATGGTACAAGACAATAAAACTTGACCTACAGAATCAGATTTGCTTATTGAATACAGTAGTAGTCAAATCTTGGAATCAGCTTTCAGTAAATCAGAGTAGCTGTTCTTAATGTATTTTTGCTCCTTAGCTCTTTAAATTTGTGTCAAGTAAACTTTTCTCTCTTTTTAGGCTACAAAGAAGATAAACACGAACCTGAACCTACAAATCATGACACAATAAAATGTGTAAATAAAAGTCAAATCAAGTCTGGCAAAGTGAACTGATTTTAGTCCTTTCTCTGACGGGAGCCAAGAAACATCGGGTCATGGAGCTACAGCATAATGCCAGCCACAATCAGACCTTGTGGAAAGAGATACCGTGGGAATCCACTGAGGACTGCTCGCTCTCAGTGAGCGGGACCACTTTCCTAATCATTGCTTACAGCATAGTCATGGCTGTGGGCCTCATTGGGAACTCCTGTCTGGTGTTTGTCATCATGCGGCACAAGGAGATGCAAAATGTTACCAACATCTTCATCGTCAATCTGTCTTGTTCTGACATTCTAATGTGCATCATATGCCTGCCAGTTACTATCATCTACACACTGATGGACCAGTGGATCCTGGGAGATACCCTGTGCAAGCTGACACCCTTTATCCAGTGCATTTCAGTAACCGTTTCAATCTTCTCCCTCGTCCTCATTGCCATGGAGCGCTACCAACTCATAGTCCATCCGACGGGTTGGAAACCACTGGTGAGCCAGTCCTACTTCGCGGTGGCTGTCACCTGGATCCTGGCCTGTCTTATGTCTGTGCCTTTCCTCAAGTACAGCGTGCTTACCTTGCCTTTCCAGAACCTGAGCCTCCCCATTCCTGTCAGAGACCACCTCATTTGCATGGAGCAGTGGCCGTCAGTTGAGAAGCGCCGCGCGTACACCACTTCCTTACTCGTCTTCCAGTACCTGCTCCCTCTCACGCTTATCTTGGTCTGCTACCTGCACATCTACCTGCGCTTGAGAAGGAGGAAGGATATGGTTGAGCGGGGCAGGAATGCGACTCAGAAAAAGAACAAGGGCTCGACGAGGATCAACGCCATGCTGATCTCTATCGTGGTGGCGTTCGCCCTGTCCTGGCTTCCTCTAAACATCTTCAACACAGTGTTTGACTGGAACCACGAAGCCATCCCGTCTTGTGGCCAAGACGACGTCATCTTTTCTTTCTGCCACCTCACTGCCATGGTCTCCACTTGCGTCAACCCAATCATCTATGGGTTCCTAAACAGCAACTTCCAGAAGCAGCTCAAGTCCACGGTGTTGCGCTGTCGGTGCTGGGGGGCTGTGGACAGGTACGAAATCGTCCCACTCTCCACCGTCAGCACAGAGGTCACCAAAGGGTCAGTCTTCAGTAATGGATCTATCACCTTTAACTCTTAAATCGTAGGATACCATACCCGAAACTATCCCATCATTGGGTTTTTTCATTTTGACTTTGAAGAAACTTCTCTCTTCGTAAACTATAACTCTATGAAACAATACTGAAAAGCAAATTGTGGACTTTTTTATGATTTAGAGAGGGTTTTCGATAAAGAGGAAGTAGATAACAATTGGGACAAAGGTTGGACAAGCTAAACTACTGATGGACAACAGAGGACACTTGACATGGCCATATGATGTAAGGACCTACAAGTGAACAGACACCCTTTACACCCTTCGACATGTTTCTCTGTAAAAGTCTAGCATCTTTTCTTATGTCTGGAGTTATCAGAGGACCTAACGTGAAATGTAAATGAGCTTAACCCCAGCGAATGTTGGGAAAAGCAAGGATATGTTGTTTTTAATTAAGTTCCTTTTTTTAATGGCGCTAATGAAAATATCAAGGGGATTGTTACCTGTTAATGATTATCAACTAATGCAGTATTAGTGCTTTAGATGTGGCTCTAGGGGCTCATTCAGTCGATTTACGGGCGCCGTCTTATACTTTTATCATTGTCTAAAATCACCGCCAGTGCTGTAACAGTGGTTCTCAGATAACCTCGGCTGGAGCTGTATACATCTCCTGCTGTCAGCCTGGTTCTGGACTCCAATCTGTATATATGTGTGGGATAGTGTCTGCCATAAAATGTGCCGTACAGCAATCGTATATCCGCTGCAATAAAACAAAATAAAAGTGACAGTAAAGGACTTTGTCAGAGCAGGTTTCTTCTGCTGTAAATATATCACATGATAGAGTTATAGTTTATGATGTGGTCTAAAGTAAAGAGCACTTTGTAGCCTAGCAAATATCTCTCAGTGACCTGTTGTTAGACACCGTGCATTTATAATCGCATTAGATCGTATATCTTTAATGATAAAACTTGTGCTGTAATATTCGGGTTAGCTCTATGTTACATTGAAACAATAAACTTCATTACACCATCTTTTAACCGGACATTCACAATTATTGCACCCATTCTTATGACTTTAAAGTAATTTAAAAAACCTCCTGGGGCTAAAATCAAATTATACTATCAAACTTGTTTCTTAAATAAGTATATGACAAGTATTCATGAATATTTTTCCAAATTTACAGCCTTAAATTTCAATGTAGTTCATTTATGTTTTACATGATAGGCCAGAAAAAAATAAAACAGTCTAATTAAGAGGCTAAAAAAAGTCACCTGAGCTAAACCTCAGTCAAATTGGTTGGATAGTTCCAGTAAGTAGAATTTTTCGATTTGATTCAAATGGAAAAGGAACTTGTACTTAAGCTTTGACTAGGCCATTCTACCCCATAGATATCCCTGAATTGCGATACTGGAGTTTTGGCTGTGTCATTAGAATCATTGTCCAGCCGGACGAGGATCCAACAATCCAGTCTCCAATCTTTTACAGCCTCTACCCGGTTCTCTTCCAGGAACCCCCGTTATCTTCCCTTCCACCTGCTCCCACATGATGCTGCAGCCTATAGGAATGATATGTTCAAAGTATGAGGTTTAAGTTTTCTGCCACTGGACTTTACATATAATCCAAAATGTTCTGTTAGGGTTTCGTCTGACCAGAGCACATTCCTCCACTTTTGTGTGTCTCATATGTCCTGAGTAAGACTACAGTATTACATATAGAGACTAATACATTCTATATTATTTATATGTCATGAAGTCAACAATTCTTTCTATCGCTTTTACAGTTTATTGTTAGGTTATTTTCAGTAATCCATAAAGATTTTTTTTTCCTGTCTAAGAACAAAGTGTTCATATTTTCTTGCAGTTACCTTTTTCTCCATCCATCTTCATCAAAATTTTAGAGTGAGAGTAGTGACTACTCTCACTCTAAAATTTTATATATACATACAGAAACGCTAATCTGAAAAATATAATCCATGGTGCCAGAAGACGAACAACAAATTAAATCATACAGATAAATAATAAAATATATAAAATGTTAATTATATACCTAAATTATTCAAATTAAGTTTCCTTAAACCAAGAAAAAAATTGTTTGAAAAACAACATTTAAAGTTGGAATATTAGTCTTTTTGAACTATGTAAATATATATGCAAAAGCTATATTTAAATTGCCTTAACACATAGATTTAATCTTGTTACTTATTACTTAATTCTAATAGATGTATTAAAGGATGTATTAAAGAAAATTAAATGTACAATTTAAAATAAAATAGTTTTCTGTTATTATAATCAAATTAATATCATTAAACAAATCTATAGAAAATTAAATACAAATAAATTTTGGTCTGGGGGAGCCTTGGTGCCCTAAGCAGCCCCTTAGCTTGTTTTCCTTTGGGCCAGCCCTGGGGTTAACCCAAACATCCATGAATTTGTTTTTAAGCAGAAAACGTTTTCGACAACTGATCAAGATATATGGTTCTGGTGAGGACATTGTGTAGCCATTTGGAAATCTGTGTAGATGCAAACAACTCATAAGTAATAAAAAAATAAATAATACAAAGTATAATTGATTAAAGGTCATTTGAGATATTGATTTGAAATTTTGAAACCTGTACATTTCCATCTGTGGATGGATTAATCGTCTTATAAATGCCATTAAGAACCTTGGAAAAAAAACATGATTTTAAAATGAATATATTTATTGCAGCCTTTTAGTTAAAACTAAAGTTAGATGGGAACATTTTAGCCTTTTGGTTATATAAGCAAAGGAGAACAAAATGCATGTGTGTGTCGATGGTTTGAATAACCCTGATTAACTGTAAAAAAAACATGGAGCTTGTGTATTTTTCCAACATCCTATCAGCTTCTGATTAATGGGACGTTGCTAAAGCCTAATGGAGGCCTGTGTTAGTAAAAGATATAAATCATCTTTTTGCAATATTAATATTTTAAGATATATCTGAGGTCAAGATAAGTGTGCTGTTGCTGTTTGCATTATTCAGAAGGGATGTTTGGGATGACAAACGTTTTAGACACGCATGTAAAATTGAGCGTTCTTTCTTAATGATAGATATTAAACTGCAAAAAGGGTTAGAAGATTAATCAGAATTGATAACATTTATTACAAAGATATCCCACAAGAACTGTTTTAATCCAGCTGTAGAGAAAATAAATATTGATGGAAAGAAAAGGAAATGGTTTAGCTGCCAATTATGGTTAACTTTTTTATAATTTGTGAATAAAAAGCATAACTGCAGGTTGTTTTCCAAGAGAGTTCAGTCTGTGGGAGAGATCGCATAGGTCCTTGTCAGCACAATTAACTGTATGCTTCCGCTGTCTTGGCCTGGACTGGCCTTTTGCAGACTTCTACCTCGTCTGCTCCCACATTTCAGCCCTCTCACCTGCCTCTCCATTTCAGAGCTTCACCAGAGTGAAGCAGCACTTCTTGTTTTGTGAAGAACAGAAATGCAGGAGGTGCCGCCATGCTTCAGTGGCACTTGGCAATGACTGGAACCTGAGTTATGCCATTCTGTGTTTTTAACCATTGTAGCCAGGCTCCAGGCATATTAGTGAGCTATGAAATGAAGCTCAGCTGGAGATAGACCCTTAATGAGTCCACCGGGCCAGACTCTCCTCGTCGGTGGAGCAGTTCCAGAAAGATTAGCATCTTGGCTCCCTTGCATTTTAATTTAGAGAGAGATTCTCATATAAGCAATCGCAGCAGATCACAGGAACAACATGAACTAGTTGGCTAGAGATATGCTCAAGCTGTTGTTTTGAGCATTTAAATTCTCCTTTTTTTGCCTGCTTTTCTAATCTTTTTTTTTTTTGCCTTTTCTATTGTAATGCAATGTCTAATGAATCCATGCAGAAACGTTGTTTTGATGTTTTCTATCATGGGAAATAGTCAAATTTAGGGTTCTTCGTTTTCCTTGGCTAATTTACGAGTCAATTAAACAAATTAGCTAAGTCATTATTTGCTTGCAGCCTATCTTTCTCAGTTATCCCTCCTCATATCAGGTGCTTCCCCTTTCTGGAGATATCTATGAGAAACGGGTCAATTCAGTTGGTTGATTTTATTGTTTTATGACTTTCAATGTCATATCAGGGCAACAACCAGGCCTGGGTCAATACCTTCTCTGCTGTGTTCTTCTGATTTATTAATATGAATATTTCATCTTAGTTTTGATTTAAAAACAATTTGATTTATTGATTAAAGTTTGCTTAGTAAGTCTTAAAATTTTCCTCACATAAAATGGTGGACCCCAATATTGAAATTATTATTAAAGAGAACAACTGTTATTACTCCTGTAAAATTAAAGAAAAAAAGATAAATAAAAAAGATAAAGCAAAAAATATAAAGAAAAAAGAAAGCAAAAAAATAAAGCAAGGTCCCCTTTGCTAGCTTAGTGACATGACATTAGCCAGGAAACTACTCCAGAAAATTGATATGGAGGCTTTATTTGCTTATATTCTTTGAATTTCCATCAAGCAAATTGATTGTAAATATAATGTTTAAACATAAATTAAAAACTGTCCCACACCTCGTAGAGTTCTGTTGTTAGAGCAAAGATTTAATCTTTCCATGGATGGATGGTTTGTTAGAATAGATGAAAAAGTAAACTGACATTTCAGCAGTTTTTTTTATAACTTATTAAAGTCTAATTGTTATAATTAGTCTGTTTTTTAACATAAGGTAGGTAATTAACAGTAATTCAATTTTGAAAATTGGCAAGATTCTACTAAGTACATCTAATCAAACTGTTCCCACTGTGAGGCCACTTTTATGTCTTTAACTCTACCTGTTAAAGATAAAAGCTTGTCTATTTACTGCAACTCTGGTCAGTGTTGTCTCTAATTAGTTAAATGCGTCTGACTGGTCTGAGTGAGACAAATTAGAAGTAATTATTGGACTCCGTAGCTGTGGGAGCCCATGTGTGTGTATGTGTGTGTCTTCAGCTCTGATTGTTGCACATTACTTTCCTCTAAGTGATTTAATATTTCAGATTAACTGCAGGCGACGATTGCCTCTGATTAAAAACAGAAGAGTGGATTGGCACGGACTCATTGTTCATGATGGTATTGATCATATATGAATAATTTACATCCTGCTGTGCTCTTGCTTTTCCTATATGGAATGCTTGTCAGATCATTTCTAATAAAGCATAGCTACGACACTCATGTGGCGTTGGGTGTGTGTTCATCAAGAGTGGGTGCAGTCCTATCTGCAATATGAAACCAATGGAAACAGTTTTCTGCCTTATATGTTTGCTCGGTGACGCCTGAGTAAGAGATGGATTGAACTAATTTGATAAAAAATACACTTTGCATTGAAGATAAGGCTGTGCTTTGCCCATTGGCTTGTCAGCAGGATATTACAGGCTGGTACTGCCTAGTGAATTCACTATTATGAATAAACTTCGATCTCTCATTCAGTTTGTTTAAATTTCAAACCCTATTGGCAAACACACATGTCGCCTGCCTCGAATAATTATCATGTTGTTTATCCACTACTAATAAAACTGATTGATATTCTGCAGGGGGATAATATATGAATTTTAAAAACCGGGAAAAAGGCTTATTAACTGACTTTGAGTTCATTTGATCTTTATCGTTTAATACAATCTGCAACAGAAGTCACAAAAATACCAAAAAGAGGAAAAAAGAAAAAAACAAGTTTTAAAGACTCTAGAATAGGAATTTTCTAGTTATATCTAGCGCCCTCTGGTGGGGGAACAGGAAGCATTACAGCCAGCTCAAAAAAGTTAAAAAACAATCCACTGGAGGTTTCTTTTTTATCTTTTTTTTTTTTTTTTTTTTTAGTTTCTTGTTTTTTTTAACTTAACATATTTAGTTTTTTAAATCAATATTTAGATCCAAACTAAATATTTAGTTTGGAGATAATATCTATTTGATAAAGTAAGATAGTGAAAAAATGACTTGGGGGGAAAAAAAATAATCCACTTATTTTTTTTCTTGAAACACATAAATAACCATAAATATTGCTCCTAATTTTTTCACTGATTAACTTTACAAGCGGCCCATAGTATAAAACCAAAAAAACTATTCTAAACAGAGCATGTATTCTGTATTAGTCATCTTTAATGTTGGGATATGCATGTGGATAATGAGGTACTGTATCATTATTGTCACTTTATGACTAATATACTAAGAGTTAAAATGTCAAATTAGTTAGGAAGTTCCATTTGAGTGTATCGCTGCTGCCACCCTCTGATTTGGAGGGGAACCGCTTGTTGTAGGGGCAGTAATCATAATATGGGAGCAACAAATCACCTAGTGGTGGGGGGTGGGCAATGATTGGTTAAAGGTGGCCATGATCACCCCTGGACCCGCCTCTATCTTTGCCGCTGCTGTCAGCTGCGTTCATTATTTTTCTAATCACCAAACATAAATGTGTGCAACTTTGTTCCAGTGTAAACAAAATACAGCTGCCTTCTGAAGGCTGGGAGGTTTATTAGAGAAGACCAGAGGGATAAAGGCTCATGTAGACCAAAGAACAAAGCTGACAGGTCTGGGATAATAAGGTGGGGTTCTTTAAAGCAATAACAGGCCATAAATATTAAGCCAAGCTTTAAACGTCTCACAGAGCTCTGTTCTATTCATCACCTGAATCCCAATTTGCCATCGACTTAAACCGAGAGGCTTTGAAAAGGAGAGCATTAATAAAAGAAGCAGCCAATAAGCCACAGCTTAGGGAGGATGTGTTGGTTAGAGATCAAATAATTATAAAGTCTGCAGTTCTGGCCTTCATGGGAGGGCCTCAAGCATGAAATGTCACAGCCATGAAGAAGAAACAGCAGGAAGATTATCTCATTTAGTATTGAAGGGAACAAGGTGGTAAAAGATACATGACAGGAATCAAAGAGTCATTTAAATATACAGCCAGAGCTACAACACAGTGGTTATAGAATGTCCTAGTCAAAGGCCACACTTTAAACACAGTTTTTAATCTGTGGTGTAGATGCTTTCTGTCTGATCTGAATAATCTGGAGTTCCAAAAAACAGAAAATTAAAAACAATCCACTGGACTTGGTTTCCAAGTTTTTAGACGTTTCGCTTCCCACCCAGGAAGCTTTTTCAATTCAAAATGTCAGAAATAGCGTTGAGTTCGAGATTTTATACAGTAGTCCAACAAAGGCTTGTTTTTGTTTTGAAAACATGCAAATTGGAACAGACAAAGGGGTCCACCCCTATGGAATGGAGGTCGTTTGGCTTCTTTGTTAGAGTGCAGTACCCCATACCCATCCAAGGCTACGTTCACACTGCAGCCTTAATGCTTAATTACGATTCTTTTGTGAAATCAGATTTCTTTTGCGTTGCAGTTCACATTTCCAAATATATGCGACATGTATGTAATCTCCTGTGTGAACTACATTCATACAAAGCAAGTAGAGGAAGCAATGATGTCACAAGCAAGTGTGCTTTGTGTTTACGGAAGTAAACATGGATGGTAGTGTGTTGGAGAGCATCTAGCAATCTTTCCCAACCTTAAAAACTGTTCAAGATGCCTTCCACATTATCGTCCGCCATTGTTATTTTTCTTTCCACTTCTGTGTAGCAAGATGCAGAATAGCGACCTATGTCTGGTATTAAAGGCGTACAGGTCGGATAGATGCGACCTGGCCATTCAGACACAGGTTGCATTTGAAACGACCAGACTTTTGTTGGATTCAGGACCACAGAGCCAAGTGGCCTGGGTCACATTGGGAAAAAATTGGATCTGTGTTGTTCAGACTACCATGAAAAGATGAGATACAGGTCGCATATGAGCATACAAATCGGATTTGGGTCACTTCAGGCTGCAGTGTGAACGTAGCCTAAACGGCAGATTATACTTCTGCAACCTCACACATCAAATGTTGTAGTTTTAAAAAACTACATAATGGCTTCCACTTTTAATAACAATTGTGCGTTAATTTGTGAGGACCTAGCTTAATTAGAGGCTACATCGTGGAAATGTTTTTTAGGTCCATGATGTCCGTTCCTTTAACTCATAAATGCTGGAAGGGGAAGAAACATTTTTCTCAGATTGTGTTCTAAAGTTATTTTTCATATCGTAGTTTTATTGCAAAGCTTACATCTGTTAAGCATAAAGTATCACACCTTCTGGATGATGAAACTGCTCCAGATAAAAACAAAACAGATGAGCAGACTGATGAAGCCAGGAAACAGTCTGGATCCCAATCCATTTCAAAATGTACGGTGGGAACAGAGACAAATATCACAAGGAGAGAAGCCATTCCAAAAAAAGCTGATCCTGTTCAAGAATGTTGCAACCTGAGTGATAAAGGATGTTTTCTTTCATTACTTAAATGCTTCAAAGAGTTTAAGCAATCCTAAAAGGCAAAGTAGGAGGTGTTTTGATTTATGATGCAATATTTCTTCCTCGTTTTGCAAAAGAAAATAAGAAAAACAGATTGAAGCAAAAGATTCTATAGTTTTTATTCAGAATTGGGCAAAAAAAGAAGCAAATATGCAGCAACTCCTACATCTATAACATATCATTGCCTAAGACATCACTGTTTGAATGCCTGGTGTCTGCGTTCCCCCTCAGGTACCCTCGCCTGAAAGAAGAGAAAAAGAAATATGAGGATTTTGATGATGTTTATCACCATTATCTAACTTTTTCCACATTTCACCATCACTAACAGGAATAATTCATGCAGATCTTACAAGAAGGCCCCTCATTCTGTAGAATTTGGCAAACGGTGACTCCTCTGCACAGCCCAGAACACTGCAGGGTGCCTCTGCATTCGCCAAACCTTCAAATATCTGCTACAGGAGAAATGATACATGGAGAACGTCTGCCAGAGCGATTATAAAGAAATGCTCAGCTGCTTACGCTGTCCAGCATGTCTGGAAAGCCATCCGATTCCCTCTTTCCTCCTGGGCTCAGACCAAACGACCAGTGCTGACAGCTGGCCAGCGACAGAACCGTCCCCAGCAGGAGAAGCCGGAGCGTCAGCGTTTTAGCAGCCATTCTGATGGACAAACAAAAGTTTTTACTCGACACAAACACTTCATTTGACGTTTCTTTAATTTGTCATACCTGTTGTTCACAGGAGCTCCTCCAACCTGCCCTGTTGAGCTTTGGGAGTCATGCAAACACTGTGAGGATTTATATAAGGCTCTACTGCTTTGTTTCCTCCATCACTTCACTGCAGGGGGGAGGCAGCAAAGAGGGAACAAAGTGGCAACCCACAGAGCTATTTAAAAGATTACACTACGTGTTTGACTTATGTGTGCTGTTCATTAAAAATAGCAAGTTGCAAAGAGTGACAAACAGGAAGCTCTTTGCTGATTCACTGGTTGGTTGATTGCCGGATTTCACCTTTAGTCCTGTTTCTTTACAAATACTGTGTTTGTTTTTTGTGTCTTTGGTTGACCTTTGAATTGAATGAAACTGTCTACAACAATTAAAAAGTGTGGGTGCGTAGGTACTGTTATGGAGTGACATTTGTCCCAATATTGTTGCAAAGAATGGACATCAAAATAATAAATGCAATCCGGAAATTAAACTTTGAAAAAGAAAAGGTTTTAATATATTTTTTTTAAATATAATTTCATGTTTTTCCTTTTTTTTTTATATTTTATTTGTTAAAAGTCCATCTGTTTGTTTAGTACCGCATTACCCATGATGCATCTGTTCATTTTTTAGTTGCAATTTCACTTAGCTCAGCAAATAGTTTTTTCTGTGTGGTTCGTGGCGTAAAAATAGCATCCACCATTAATCCTTCCTTTATTCAGAGTGTATGAAACCTGTGCGCATTTTTTTAACGATGTGAATATACATTTTAAGTCCGTTAATTGTGTTTCATGTCAGTTATTATCCCAGGAGGCGAAATTGTCCTTGTGTTTCTCTGGTTGCTGGCAATGCAAGAGTTTACTTATAATAATTCAAGCTCATTGTTATACTTTGCCAGATATATTATCATTTTATTAGTATATGATGGAATTACCGTTCATTTCATATTTTCCTATGTTTTTGTCAGTTGTATGTTTACTGTATTTGACCGATAATCCATGTGTGTTGTTATGGCGCCCTCCAGTGGATTTCTATGATACTACAGGCCATTTTCATCCTGCAACCATGTGTAGCTGTTTTGCCTGCATGGCTATAAATATGCACCTTTATTGTATATACCTAAGAAACTAAAAATAAAACCTCATCATCATCTGTAACATCCTCCCCAATGTACCTGCTTCTATTCCACCAATAAACCTTCTCACCGATGGAGTTGATATATTCCTTCTGACCAAGGAAGATTCAATTGATGAGAAATCTGAAATTATGGCATATTAAACGTACGCAGTCTTCTACACTTTGTTTTTCAATTAAAATTTCCCTTTGTAGATTATGAACTGCATTCTTTTCAAATTGTTTTTCAAAGTTTATATTCTCATCTGGAGCGGTGTCATTGGCAGTATTTAAAATGGGGGGGAATTATGAAAATGTGAGCAATTAAGATAAAATGTTAATAATCTAATACAGAAAATTCCATCTTTAATTCTAAAGATTGTTTCGTTCATTTATGTTGTTTTTAATGATATGTAAAAAGCAACTTGAAAGATATTTGAATATTTAAAAAACAAAGACATAGGCTATATGTGAGGGACCAAGGAAAAATTAAAAATCAGAGAATCACAGGGCAGCTTGGAAAAAAATGGTGACAAATTTATTTACAACAAAATCTGGCACTCTAAACATAAACCTGGGCCCAAAAAGAAAATGAGGTCAATAGAACGAAACGTAACAAAAGTAACTGAAGTATTAACTGACCTAACAAACTGAGGAACACATATACTGGTAGATCAGGGAATTTTTGACACAACAGGGAACATTACATACATTTACCTCAACAAAATTACAACAACAACAAAAAAACTGTACAATACAAAATCAGCAACCTATGAGACAGAACTTAAGTAGTTAAATTATCCAATTTTAGTTACAAAAAACTAACAAAATGGGAAAAACTGAAACCTTCCCACAGCTCTTCTACAATAAGTGGAAGAGTCAAATCACGTCTCAGTGCCACTGCAGATTCTTTGCAGCTGGGGCTCTTTAGCTGAATCCCCAGCGGTTCCCTAAATGCTATGTTCAGACCGCAAGCAGCAAGAGCAGAAAAGTGGGTCTGATGGGCGTTGGGTGCAGCTACCCCATCCTTTCTTTGCCTGTAACAACGGTAGTTTTTTTTGCTGTCATCAGTGGGTAAAAAGTAGTTTTAATATGTTTTTTAGTGAGAAAGTCCTCCTGAAAACTTCATCTGTGCAGTCAGTTCATCCAGATTACCATCCTGCCTTCAAATATTGTTTCTGTCGGAGCCGCTCAGACCCCCGTAAACCAGCGGTGCTCTGTCACTGGGAAACCCCTTCAACAGCAGCCTATGGCCCGGTCGCCTCTTTGTGGTTTTCGGCAGGCGTTTTTCACGTACATAATCCAAACTGCAGGCACCAGAATAATAAAATCGGACATATTTTACAGGCAGGTACTTTAATAAACTGTTTCAGAGGAGTGATCACAGTGCTCTGCATGAGCAGCACTGCCTCACCAGCTCACAGATCAGCTTCTCTGATTGGTTGATGTGGAGCGTCGAGCGGCAAAAGTTCAATTTTTCCAACTCCAGCAGCTGCTGCTTCTGAAGCGCTGCTCCTGCTGCTCAAAACGCGCCGCAGGAACTTTTGCTGCACCTTGATGCGCGTCAACCATTGACTTTGCATGTAAACTAGCTGCTTCTGCTGCCTCTGCTGCTTTGGGTGTGAACATAGCATAACATTAACCCTCGGTTTAGGCAGAGAGTCCGCCACATTAAGGGCCATCCCAAACCACGTAATGGGTAGGGCCAGTGGACTGCTCAGCCATTAGATCAGGGGGGTCAAAGTGGTTCCAGAAAGGGCCGTGTGGCTGCAGGTTTTCTTTCCAAACAAGCAATAGCACACCAGACTCCAGTCATCTCATCAAGTGAGTCCAATCCAAACATGATGAGTTCACGTTTTCACGATAATTATCACTATCATTATCGTATTTCTGAACATAAAACCGAAGCCAAGAGTAACGAGTAACGTTTTAAAATGTAAGGAATAGAAAGTACAGATACTGGTGTGAAAATGTAATGAGTAGAAGTCAGAAGTAGGAAGAACAAGTAATGGAGTAAAGTATAGATACCTAAATAGTGTACTTAAAGGAAAATTCCGGTTTTTAACACTTTTAGCCCATTTTCTGTAGTGTCCAGGATGAAATCGAATGATCGTCACCAAAATTTTGAC